CAGTCCTCCTTATCATTATTCCACCAAAATAAATTCTACACAGAAGAAAACCGTAAAGATGTCCATCAGAAGACCCTTCCATAGAGGAGAACCCATCTCATGATTCCCAGGGGGTGGTAGAGCAGCACAAGGATGGGGAATAATTGTTATTTCACAAGGTTTTTATCTCAGTTTCCCATTCTCCCCCAACTAAAATCCTCTACACATGGTTAAAATAGAAGCATCCTTTGGCTGATATTGATTAGTGCAGGAAACATTCTCCTAAAAAAACTATTTCCATACCGCAATTCCTTTCCAAACATGCACAGAATTACATCCAAACTCCCACTTCACACGATTTCCTTTTAGATATTTCTGGTATCTCAAATGCTCTTCATTTCTTCCAGATCAAGAAGAGAAGTTCTTTTAAAATTTATCCTTTTTAAACATCACACTTAAGACCCTTCTTGTTATTAATCAAATTCCAACCCAGCTTAGAGATCAAAACCAAAATGTTGCGGTCTGCATAGCGTTCTTTGATCTACAGTCACCATTCTTTTCAACTGCAAACACAATCCCATTGAACAAGATGAATTTTCTTTTTCTCTAGGGTTTCACGCAGAGAAATTTATGTTCCATTACTGTCAATATGCATCACAACCTTTGTAGGCAAGAGCATAGTGCATAGTATAAGGAAGAATAACAGAAGCCACAATTTTTAATGAGTTGCTCTGATAGTCAAGGATAGGGTATTGGCTTTTCCACCCAGCCAACCTTTTTGATTTTGCCTAAAATAATCATTAAAGTGGCCCTCGTGTAACTCTACCGATGAACAAGAGTAACACCCAAGTTTTCCCTAACTCAGAAGTTAGAGGAATGCCACACTGGTGCCTAACTCTTTAGCTCTCCGCCTTTAATCACCATTAGGGGAGACAAATAGCTTTGCGACTGATTGGAAGTTATATCTCAACCCCAAATCTCTATAAAATTATCAATAACTTCATGTATGGCTACACGTTGACATAATAGCCTGACTCAAAAAGCATCAGTCATCAGAAAAAGGTAGATGGGTTTGACGATTAGGTTCACCCTATCACCTCCACCCCTTTCCAATTCTTATTTTCAGACTACAAGCTGATCATGTTGGATAGTCTCTCTAAAACAACACAAACAGTATGAGGACAGGTATCCCCTTCCTTAACCCTCTGAAGGTGTGATTCCTCCAGAGGGCTCACTATCACAAACAGCAGTACTAACATGTTGACAAACACATAATAAGATCAATTGAGATTATTTCAAAATGAAACTCCTCCAAGTTTGTTTGAAAAAATCCAAGAGATGTTTATCATGGGCTTTCCCAATCAATTTTAAAAACCATACCTCCCTCTCTTACCTTTTTTTTTTTTTTTTTGGATTGAATGTGCTATAATTCGTTGAGTAATAGTGCTGATGCACTCGCATTTTATCAGGGATAAAATTACTTTGTAGTGTCTTATACAATATTACTCAGAGAGGCCTCCTCTGCAGACATGATTTTTGAAAATAATTTTGAAAAACTTGCAGAAACTAATAGTGTCTTAAACTGTTCGCACTTTTAGGTTTATCAATTTTAGAAATCAAAGCAAATAAGGGTTTTATTAACATCTTCTAGGTACTTGGTTTTTCAGAAAACGAATTCTTGACAAAATCACACACAGCACACCATAATAAAACCAAATACTTATCTGTTAAAATTTACCTACACCACATCACCTACTTACACACTCACCTACTTCACCTACTTCCACCTACTCCTCACCTACTCATTACCTACTACACACTCACATCTCACATCCTCTCTTATATATAGGAATCATTGAATATATAACATTATATCAATCAATAATACATAAATTTTTACATGGTATCAGAGCAAGGTTAAGAAATTAATATTTTTCGCTTCACCGGCGGCGGCAACCTCGCCTTGACCGCCCGCCGGACCTCAACCTATTCCGCTTGAATTTTCTACACATACCTTGATCACTCTGCATGTCCTTCCTCCTCCTGCTGCTGAATATTGGTTTGCAACTTTGCTCGGTCAGTTCAATTTACACAAGTTCCTATCCTCTGTCAAAAGAATGTAACAATTGGATTGATGCAACCCTCCTGTAATTCTTCATGGCTGAATAAACTTGGACCTCCGGATTGCCCACCTTTTCAACCTTCAGGAAGCTCTCTCTTCCGCCAGACCCTCTTCACGATGCCTCGACAAACTCCTCGATCAACATCGTTGCCGTATCCGATCCCAAACCACAGGCGGCATCGCCGAGTACCTCCCGGAGGAGCTCGGACTCCTCCAACAAGATCTCTGCATGTTTCACATCAACTCGATCGATTTCCTGCGGCACAGGCCCTTCACACGTCAAGAACTTGAAGCTTCTCTTCAGCTCGATCTCAGCAACAACAGGTGCGCACCATTAGCACCACTGCGCTTCCAATCAACATGGATCTGTCTTACAGTTTCCATTTGCAAGACCCAAGAGACTATGATTCTCTCTCTGTAAAGGCAATTGCACACGAGATCATTTAATTCCCCACAAATATGGACGGTTTTCCAACTTGAATGCAACCGTCCTCGGCGAATTTCAAAGCTCAATGGACATGAAAATGCACTGGCTTGAATCTATCTTCCTTCTGGTAGTTTTCAGGGCGTTGTTTAACATTATCAGTTTCTTCATGATAATCTTGGATCTTTTAACATAAGACAGCAATTTCTTTCATGGTGTTGGCATTGCATAACATCTAGCCACAACAGGCAAGACGGTGGTAAATCTCTTTTTTCTCCAGTCTCTCTTCACTGTTACACCCAGCCTTTAATCAAATACTCCACCTCAATTCTCTCTCAGTTGGTCTACCTTTTTAATTTATTATTATTATATTATTTATTATTATTATTATTATTTTATTATTATATATTATTATTATTATATCAAATATCCATACATCTTCAGTGTTTCCTACTGATAGTGTCCATTTTTTTTGACCCATCCCCACTTCTTTATTTCTTTTTCTAATCAATGTCTTTTTTATATTATTATTATTATTATTATATCTATATTATCTTTATTAAAAAAATAAAAAAAACCCAAACACGCAATTGCATAACAATTTACAAATTTGCACACCAAGCTTCATTTTATCATGTCGGGTCTCACCCCATATTGACCATGTTTCCATCTATCAAAAATCACAAAAAAAAAAAAAAAAAACACAAAACAAAAAATAAAATAAAATAAAATACAACAAAACACCTCACATTCACAGGTGGGATTTTCTTCTACTATTCTGCCGCCGGTCTTTTCTTTTGCTCCGTCTTTGGGCGCCTCTTGCCGGTGTTGCCTTCCGTGTTTACACATCTTCCATCTGGGCATGACACTACTCGCCTACTCCTCCACTGCAGCATATGGCGGCCCTCCATAATCGGTAACATAAAACTGCCTTCGCTTCAGCTCCTTGTTTTCCGTCCTTTAGCATACTTACTCTGCTTCGCGCATCCTTATTATCATCGCGTTGGAGCAGAGCAGTGGGTCGTTAACTGCTGCAACCCTCATTTGTTGGCTCTACTTCGCCAAGCCGGCTTCGACAAATTGTAAACCGCAGTCATGGTTCCAGCACATGACTTCAAGGTATACGATTTGGCCTCCACATCCGATCTGCACCGCCATTTTCGCTCCACCGACTGCATTCGCGAAAGTTTCAATGGAGTCAAACACAGAGTGTTTGGTTGAGTTACATCGGCCTACCGCACCAGTTCTCTCTCTTGTTGACTCATGGAGTGTCGGGAAAGAGAGTGAGCAGCCCACGGGAAGTACGTAATCCATTTTCCTGGCATACAGCTATGTGTTACAGCTGTATGTACAGAGTTTCTCTCTCAGCAAATGGAAAATTTTCCAGAGTTTCTCTAGTTTTTTCTTGTCTCAGCCTTGCCCAGCCTCAGCCTTCCGTCTTGGTTTAAAGTCTCGTATGCACTCATCCAACCAATGACATCATCAGCTAGACGCACCACCAGGACGCCAGACGACAACAACGGGCGCTTGACCAAAGCACAAGGTCATACTACCTGTCTCATGCGCCATCAGAATTACACAGGTCTCACCGTTTTCATATCGGAATGGGCTGCAGCCTTTTGATGCGATCGCGATTTTGAATGGAAAAATTATATTGCGGTGTCACACACAGAGCACTCGTAAATGGAATGAGCGGAAAGCTGATTTTCTTAAGGTCCGACCTAAGATCTAATACAACAACTGTCAACGTGGAGGAACATTTGGAATTTCTCTGGTCAGCACTCCTTCATGGCTCCGACAAGACCATAGTAAAAAACCGTCACCAGCATCTATGTACTGCAGGTATAAAGTTATTCTACAAGATTGTCCTGATCACGGATCACCGTAAAAACTTGTCTCCGACATTAGAAATTCATCGAATGCATTTATCATTAACTTTGGGTCTCAGGAATCTAGAAGACGCTCTGTAAAAAAACTGTTCGGCCGACTACTACTGCGTATTTACTCGGTTAGTTCTCTAATCTAGATGTGGACGCAGGCAAGACATCACAGTATAACTTGTTCCACACACACAATCAGGTCACATGTAACAATAGTCGATCCTACATTTTAACGCCCGTACATGACCCACATAAAGTCAATAACATGTTCTCTTACATTCTGGCTGCACTACTCAACACTATCCGGTGACTCAACATGCCGGTTGATACGAAAACATACTAACCTTCAGTGACAAGCTCAATCTAGCAACAGTTATGACACCCCCCATAAACTAGTATGTCCTCTATCAACGTATAGATATATATATACGTGATGAAATTTTTAGTCACCAAACAACAAATAAATAAAAACTTTCATATATAAACTGCAGTAAATTGTCACAAAAAAGTTTATTAGTGACGAATAATCACTTTGTCATAATAACAAGTATAAATGACAAAACAAATTCGTCACTAAACTTGTTCGATATTTTATATTCAATTTAAATTATTATTCCACAAATATCCCTGCTCATATCCCAATAGCCTTTTAATTGTACTAAGAAATCCACTAGCTATTATACATCACTCCACAAAAAAATTCACTAAACCATTTATATTATAAATCAAAATATATCCATCAAACAACTTTACTAATAATCCATTAAGTATCACAAAAAAACCATCAAAGCAAATCCCAAAATGAACTAACGTGGAGTCCACAAAAAAAATTAATACTCAATCTTGATTTGCAACTACAACTAAGCATCAGTTTAGGGAAAAAAATTCAACAGTTGATCTTCATTTGCAAGTATGCTTCCGAACGTCATCAAAACCAATCTGCAAAGAAAATAAACAAGGCAAACATTAATATATTATCAATTACATCTAAACTCATATATAAATAATTTAATTTAATACACCAATTTAGTAGAAATGCATATAACAATTCAAAACTTCAAAGAGTTGAGGTGATCCTTGATGATAAAGCAACACGGAAATGGAGAGACTTAGTTGATGAGATGTATTACAAGTAGCTGGTGGGTAGTTTAATGTATCTCACTGCCACGAGACCGGACATGATTTTTGTAATAGAGAACAAATAAAAAAGAAAAACATGGTAGTATTTTGCACATATACAAATATACAAGTGTCCTTTATGTTTCACAAAATGATTTTGAATCCCAATGTAATTGAGCGTAGTTGCCTCAAATCATTTAAAATCACTGCAATGCCCAATATGACTTAACAAATATGCACTTGAATACCACTCCTATAAATGATAGAAAATTGCAAGCTAATTGAATTCGTACTCCTAGACCTTGAAATTGCTCCAATACTGCCTATAATTTGACAAAGTACATTAAGCACTATAGCCACAACTGATTCAAAATGTGCTACAGGCTCCGTCTGTTTTTCAGGTCACAATTGAAAGCATTGTGAATGAGGGGATGTATTAGAAGCAAACATGCCATGATATTTCCATAGGTGGAGCATCTCGTCAACAATGCGTGTATATTAAGTTCTTACTGAAAATACATCAAGCACCAACCACTGTTCATCAAACTAGTTAAACCAGCCAAATCTTACCATAATTACAAAAAACATCCAGGGACTTTCAACTTCTTCGAAGCTTGTAAGATAAATCCTTTTGAATTGATTTACAATTTTTTCTGAAAATAACTAATGATCTGAAAACTTTAGATTACTTCCGTAATGATAATATAAGCTATTTTTTGTCAAAATCAAATACTTTTTCCACTATAATCTATTCTCACACTTCCTCGAATCACAAAATTCTTCAAAATATCTTTCGGTATACAAAGGTAAGTTAATAAATCTAAACCCTGCCACAATGCAAAGACAAGGGCTAATCCAATCCCCACACAAAATGAATCACAGGGGGTCATAGATGAATTCTCTAAGATATCTACTTGCTAATAATATCTGAGTATTCATCTGAGAAAAGTAAACAAACAATAAAATTTTTAACTGTAACTTTAAATTTCAATATGCTAAATGTTTGGAGCACTAGAAGATCACTTACCCATTCCTATTAGCGTTTCCTCCATGTCAGAACTGTTTTCTGTAACTCCCATCTTCAAACTATGATCAGTACATCAAACAATGTCAAGAGATTGCGTAATATGAACACATGAGAATCAATTCAACAACTAAAGTGGAGAATTTTGAAATTAACAGATAAACTACACTTTGCAAGTAGTCAGTAAACTGTTCCAAGTAACGCTCTTCGACTATAACTTGCTGAACTTCATTGCCTTCTCAAAATTGTTCAATTTTTGAATTACGCTCTGTTTGGTTGCTGAGAAATGTGAGGGGGGGAAAAAAACAATAACAACAACGCCGTAGTAAGAAATCAAGACATAAATTAAACAGGAAAATTAATCAACTACACGACAAAATTTTCCCGAGAAAAGTTATGGGAAAGAAACTTACGAGAGCTTAACAGAATTCGATTGAGTGAGTCGGAGAATGTTGGATTTTCGCTATTCATCAAACTTGAAAAGAAAACGGAAAAAGGAATATGCGTAAAAGGCTCGAAGATTAATGAACAAAACGATAAACAAGTTATGGTATGACGAGGGACACAGATTGTGAGATACGGAGAGAGAGACAGTCGGCTAACAACGAAAATTTCAATTCAATTTTTTAAAAATTAAATTTTTTATTTTTAGTAGATATTTTTAAAATTTTAAGTAATTTTTTTACTTTTTAAAATTTATCTTATTTAGATGTATTCAAATAAAAAAATATTTGTGAAAAATATTTTAAAAAATTAAAAAATATAAAAAGAGTACTAACTTTTCGTTTTGTTTTTTTTTTTGGATATTTTTTAGTATTTAGTGAAGTTTTTAAAAGTTTTTTTTCACAAATATTATATTTTTTAAGTGTATTTATATTAGGTGTGTCTAAAAATTAAAAAAAAAATTATTTAAAATATTAAAAAAATTCATTGAAAATATTAAAATATGAAAAAAAAAATTGAAAACTATTTTCCAAAAACCAAAACCAAATAAGCTGACTAATACTTGCTCTTATTTTTCTTTTTAAAAAAATAATATAATCACAGCTTCACCCTCCAAAAAATAAAAAAAACAAAGCTTCGAATTTTGTTTTTTATTTAACTATCAATTGATAAATTGATTTAAAAAAAAATGAAAGAGTATTCAACTTTTGAGTGTTTGGTGGGACTAGAAATAACTTTTAACTTATTTTTATATGTGAGTTTTTGACAGACTATTTGGTTATAATTTATTAGGTTAAAATAGTTTAACTAAAGTTGAAAAATTTTAATATTTCAAAAGTTGAGTGAGGAGTGTTTTAGTTACTGTTTTTTTATTATTGATTTTTTATTTAGAGTTGTTTTGAGAAGAGGGTCAAAAGTTAATTTTTTGATTTTTTTTTTAAATATATAAAAAATGTGAGAAATGATGCGATCTAAAATGGGTTACTTCTCAAAAGAGCCCTTAAAATAATCTCCACCAAACACCCCTTTGAAAGGATTATTACAAGATAGAAGAAAGAAATAAATTAACAATAAGTTTTTGTATATATAACAAATTTAAGAACCAATCACACAAAATATAAAATATAAATAAAGTAATTTGAATAAAAAAAATTTCTATTGCAAATTTAACTATTTAAGACTATACGACTAAAATTCTTTTATATACGATTAATTATATATGTCTAGACTTATATTTATTACAAAAAAACGGGTGATTATTCAGTACTCTCGGAGTATGGACACGTGGTGCTCCATAATGTTTTGATTGGTGGAGAGATACAAGGGCCCACGATTTATGTTGGAGATAGGGGGGACAACATGAGGCTAACTAATTGGTGATTGGTTTGGAGTATGGACACGTGACGCTCCAGGAGTATTGAATAATTTTCCCAAAAAAACAGAGACGAAAGTGAGACGAAACTTCTACCAGCCACCCACATGACTCCCGTGAATGAGATGTTATTTTTTCGGCCTGATGCTCTCTAAAGTCGCAATCAACCCCAAATATATTTAGGCTTGTTTTGGCAAGAAGGATTGGGTGGGTTCGGGGTTAAAATAGTCACAAAACATAAAATAGGCTATTTTAGTCACAAAAAAAAAATATCAAATCCAACCCATAATCATTACAATCCTCTTTCATAAAAAAAATCAAAAAAGCTAAAAAGTTAAAAAGCCCTTCCCAAACCAGGTTAAAATAGTTAAAAAGTCAAAAAGCCAACCCACTTCCCAAACGGAGGCTTTTATTGTCCTCAACAATATCATATGATAGTATTAGTATTAGTAATTAATAAAAGATAATATATACTCTATTTTTATAAGGTTAGAGAAAATACAATAAATTTCATAAATTTAGTATCTAAGAAAATATTAGACACTTTTAATATTTTAATTCATATAATACTTGATTTTATATTTATCAATAATTTGTTAATCATATAAACAGAAAAATAGTATTGTCATCACTTTTTTAGTAAAATGTACATTTTACCTTTATATCTTTAAGTCATTTTTTACATTAGTTTAGGTTTCGTTAGCCTCACCAAGAGGAAAATCAGTATAATTATACCAAAACAATATGACTTGCTATATTTTCTTCAATTTCTTTTATATTTGAGTGTAATATACCCTTAATAAAAAAAATTAAGGTTATTATAATAGAATTATATGTTTAATTAATGAAAGATAAGTGCTCACTAAATCACATTTATAATTTTTTACTTGCCAATGACACTATTTTTATAAGATGGTGTCACACTTACCATTAACAAATATTTACTAATTTTTGGATTTTTTTTTTAAAAATCCAATAATTTTGAGTAATTTGTAACTTATCATATTTTATATATTATTTGACGTGATATACTTATAATAGTTAATTAAATTTATTTAAAACTCATTCATTTTATTAATGATTGTTCGAATAAGGCAGTGATCAAGGTCGTTGAAGCTTGGTCCAGGCCTAGGCCCAATATTGAGTCTAGCTGACTTTTGGGATAAAACCTTCTAGGACAATGGGCTGGGCTTAAAATGGATTCCTGGATTGATTAATCACACTCTTCCCAATTTAATCGCGTCGTAAACCTAAACAACACTAATTGTGGCTTCTATGTGCCCTTAATTTGAATTATTTTGTTCACAAAAATAATATAAAAAAACATTATTAACTATCAAAAAAACGAGTAATGATAAAAGTCCAAAAAATTCTATTTAAAATTTTTATCAAATATCTCACATAAATGTGGGACTCACACAATATGAGTCTCATATGGATCCCACACCCATGTAAAATATTTAATAAAATTTTTGATACAATTTTTAGGATCTCTACTATTTTTGCAAAAGAATCTCAACAATTGAGTATAGGATTGTCCAATTAATATATATATATATATATATATTAACATAACCAAACCAATATATCCAATTTTAACAAAAGTCAAAACATACATTGGTCCTGTTTGGCGGAACTTTTTTTAAGTTAAAACCTGATAATCAGAAAGTAAAAACTTAAAACATCTCTATCCTACCTTTTAAATAATTAACTTTTTTCAGCTTATTTAAGTTATTTTTGCCTAATAAATTATAAGCAGAAACTGCACCAAACGTCTGGCATAGACTTCCAAATCAGAATAAGCTATAAACACCCCAAAAGTTGTAACAAACAGTCTCATCACTTGACTGGTACAATTTTAACTACTTCATTTTACATCAACGTAAGTGGCAAGGCCAATTGGTAAAGTTGGTCAAGTATCAGCAGTCATGCCTTAATCAACTGGCCTCACGCACTTGGTGTGCACCTCATACCCACATTGAATACATTGATAAGCCCATCCAGACCCTTGCTCATCACAATCACAACAAATAAAAGGCCCGCCTCCGCTCCCCTCCGACACCAACGTTAGCTCGTGGCGGTGCCCAATATGTTTCTCCGATCTCGGGAGGTCCTTAGCCTCCTCATCCATTTTCTTCTCTAGCAACTCCACTTTAGCCTCAGTAAAAGGGTAAGCATTTTCTTTATACAAGTTTATAAGGTTCCTCCCGTGTTTGGTAACGGTTTTACCATCTGGGCCCAAGATTACCAAACTAGGGATACCTTGTATATCGAAATACTTGGTCAAGTTCTTAGTAATTGGGTCTCCAAAAGGCAGTGCAAGCCATGGCATGGTATTGAAATGCAAGTCGAATTGTGATTGGTCTGTGTCACTTGAGACGAATACTATTTCAAAGTCCTCGCCGTCTATATCTTTTATCAATGATTGCTTGATGTTGTGATAGATGGAGATGAGCTTAGGAGTGAAGTCGAGTCCAGGAAGACACCATTGGGCTGAGAAATAGAGTCCAACTGTTTTACCAGTTAAGGAGCCAACTGGCACCTGCACATGAAGAAGCCCACATCCATACCATACATGTGTATACATACATATGAATATAAGCTTCTCTGCTGGATTGGGGTGCATTTGGCATTAATGTTAAATTTGACTAATTAAAACTAGAATATAAAACATTTTTATAAAAAAAAAAATTGTATCTACTAAAGTTAACACCTATAATCTTTTTGTCATCGGGAAATGAGATTACTGTAATTATGAATTTATTTAATTTAATTAAATACTAAACCCTTAATAGAACAGAATGACAACAAAAAAAAAATAATAATGTTCAAGTGACTAAGTTGACTAGATTGAAATACAAGCTTGGTTTGATTTTGTTTGAAAAGAAGTGAGTACATTTAGGGACGGAATCAGGATTTCATTACCAGAAGGGTCAAAAGAAAAATAATTTTTTTTTACTACATACACAAAAACACACATGTATATATATTATATATACATAAAAAAAAATTTAAATACCATAAAAGTTTTTTTTTTTAATAAAAAAATCTAATAGGATGAATAAGTTTTTTTTTTTTTTTGTAAAACACAAAAAAAATTCAAGATGAAAAAAGAATAACATATATATTTTTTTATACAGGATGGTCATTTTATATATAAAATGACCATCTTGTATAAAAAAATATATATGTTATTCTTTTTTCATCTTGAATTTTTTTTGTGTTTTACATTAAAAAAAAAAAACTTATTCATCTTATTAGATTTTTTTATTAAAAAAAAAAACTTTTATGGTATTTAAATTTTTTTTTATGTATATATAATATATATACATGTGTGTTTTTGTGTATGTAGTAAAAAAAAATTATTTTTCTTTTGACCCTTCTGGTAATGAAATC